GGATTGTGGGAGATATTCCTACTAAAGACCCTCTAGCTATGCCAATATTGGTTACAATAATGATGGTATAATCACGCTCTATATATTACCTCTGGAGATAACTGTGTGTCTTTTCCTTTGAACAACACTGTTGAGGATTGCTTCGGTACTGTTTCATTTCCCTTATCGGATTTCTTCTTTTCTTTTCCAGTTAAATGGTAAGGCGTGTATATAGGAATTAGAATTAGGGAGTGATATTGTAATGAGTTGTATGTTTGTTCAGTGACAGATTTCCCCAAGCAATGTAAAGGGCTTCATAAGATATATTTATTGATAACAATTATTTTGAATATTTAAGTTTTTCTTTACTTTTGACACCATGACCATGTTTTTGTTCTTTTTTATTATTATTAATGACTAGTATTTGGAGACGTACTGAGTTCGGTGCGATAACACGTCAGGTAGAGAAAATAATCACTCCTATGATATTTCTTGAAGAAAACTCGCATTATAATAGCATTTGTAGTGGTGTTCATCTGGCTAGATAACCTGGAGGTCGTGGGTTCGATTCCCACCCGAACCATTTTTTTTATATCTAATTTGAATATTTTTATAATCTATTTTTTAACAAAAAAAATCACGGTCAAGTATTTTAAAATCACCTAAAATCACATTATTTTGCGAATTAGCGCCCCTCAACTGATCATCGAGCCCCCCACTTCACCTTCCCTCCTCCATCAGCACCCCCACACTTCGCCTTGGCTCCCCTCCCCATCAGTCCCCCATTTAAAGATATCTAGATACGCCACTGACTTACATGACGAGATGAATGAAAATACTCAACCGATGTGCCACCAAATCGTAACCAGCATTCACCATGCCCTCACGATGTCACCGGGGACGCAACTGCCAAAAAACTATTTTTGGCAGCGAAGGGACCCTACCAATAAAGAATCAACAAACAACCAGGTTTCTGGGTTGATTTGCAAGGTACTACACGGCTCAACTATTTTTCACCTTTGGTTAATTGGTAAAAATCGCACACAATTCTTACGACGTCACTGACAACGCCGGGGACGGCAACTCGATTTTGAGATTAATTTTCCGAATAAAGTTATACTAAATAACTTCTAATGACGAACTATTGTCTTCAGTTGTCTTTGTTGGTCATTCAACTGTCATTTTATCTATTTTTTCGGTGATATTACCATCCTGAATAATCTATAAAACACCCACATAACAACGTCACGTTAGATCGATCGGTGGGGACGCCGTGGTGACGCCGGTAATGTCAAATTTCGCCGGAAGGTATCAAGATGATAAACAGTTTCATTGGACTAAATTCTTGCTTATGTTAACCACATCATAGTTTACCAACCTGATAGATTTGAAATGCGTGAGTGACTATACCAGTTGGGTGGGGGAGGGGAACCAACCCCCCCCCCCCCCCCCCCCCCCCCCTCCGCACCCCACCCCCGCTGCTACGACGATCTGAGCATTTTTAAGCTGATTGAAAACGATTTCAGGGAGTGTTTGTTGATAATACAGGTATATAAGCAAAAATATTAATAAAGCCAGTTTGAGTTTCAATGTAGGCTTATATTAATTTGAGCACCCAAACTATGTAGACTTACACAAACTTTTGCAAAATGCGTCTTTCATCCAAAATCAATTAAAAATGCGGGACTGTCCCGTACGATGCGAGACGGTTGGTAACTATGCTTGAGTGTTCTTCGTTACATACTTTCCATTTAATTAAGTGTTAATATGGGCAAATGTTTGCATTGAGAGGAGCCACGTTGTACGTATCTTGAAGTTTCAGCTATCCCTCTCCCATGTGTTGAACCACCTGTGCTTTTAATCGATCTCATCAAAACATGTTGATAATCGTTGCTATGTGTATATAACTATATTACGTCTCCAATGTTTAACTTTTGACACTACAAGGTAATTTAATACATTATATTTGTAATTATGTTTACTATTGATTTTTGCTAGATTCTGTACATCTTCCAGAAAGGTTGACGTTTGACCCATGACACTAACTTAACTTAGTAATGAAATGTGCACTTTTGATTCAATTAATTTGATGTGTTATTTTTACTATATTTCAAAATATTTGCCATAGTAATTATTATTGCTATTGTCATCCATTAACTTCACAATTTTAAAAATAGATTTAGAATGCTGTTATAGTTCATTTACAAATCCAACTTTAATTTCAACCTTTGAGACTGCAAGGCCATTTTAACCCTGTAGTGTGCAATTATGTTTATTTGTATTCAATGATATTTACATGTAAATATTTAGCGTAAAAATTTGCATTTTTTCTTAAAATATCCTGCTTAACTTCCGAAATAAGAGGTTGACCTTTGACCTAATGACACAGAAAGGTCATTTGGCAATCAAGTGTGTGATTTTGATTTCTTAAGTTCATGTTTTATACTTATCATTTTTGTAAAATGTTTAGAAAATTAATTATAAATGCAGCAGAGAGTTTGTAATACTGCATACCTCTTACAAATTCAAATTGGTCCCTGACCTTTGTCACTGACAGGTCATCTGAACCTTTTTATGTGCAATTATGATTATTTGTAATAAATATGGTATTTACATGTAAATATTTATAGTAAACACTTGCATTTTCATGCAAAAATCCTGCTTAGCATTCCAAATAAGTGGTTGACCTTTGACCTAATGCCACCGAGAGGTCATTTGGCAAATCAAATATGAGATTTCGATTCTTTGGGGTCATTTTTATATTTGTACCCAATACATTTATATGCTCAATATGTTATGGTTAAGGAGAAAATTAGCTGCAAAGTTTCCAAATGGCGGCCATTTTGTATTTATGCAAATTAGGTAATTTAGTATTGGCCGATCAAGGTAGATTTTGGATATGCTAATTGTTACAAGCAAAAGAACATATTTTAGCAATAAAACAAACTTTTGCAATTTGTTTGACTGGCAGACCTACCGTATTTCTACTTGTAGAATCCGGTGTAGTGTCTCTAGGCCTACTATTTTATTTAAACCGCAATATTGAATTTGTATAATCTTTTATATTTCATTTGTAACCCTTACTTATGTATATTATTATATTCAGCATGAGGTCGACTAAGCAACCTGTTTCCTTATGGTACCAGGAACTTTGATGACAAGTAAGTCAGGTTCTGTACCATGGCTAACTTATCCCACTTTTATTAACTAAAACAATTAAATAATATAATCATCTTTAATTCTTATTGGTCAAGTATTTCCTCATCTTTTAAGTCATCCAATAGTAAGGAGTGCTACCCCAATATTACACAGTATTCCTATTGCTATACACTTCTCACTTTGTTCTCATTCGGATTACTACCTCAACTGTACTTTGCAATATTTTATCTTGTTTGATTTCATCGATAGCCAAGTGTTTTTTATAGCTTACATTAAGCATTTTGCACTGGAAAGAAATTATATTATATCTATTCAAATTAGTTTGTTGTGTTCTTCCCGTTGCGCCATACAATGACTAATGGGTGACTCCGACTTCAAGATCCAGATAATATTTTGGTTGCACCGCCTGCACAGCCACTTGCACCACCGGTAGTAACACCTACAGAAAAATGTGCAATCAGCTTAAAACGACCTCCACACTGGGCACATGATCCCACCTTGTGGTTTACGTAAGTAGAAGCACAATTCACTACAAAGGGAAATAACTGCAGTCTATGCCACGAAATACGCATATTTAGTAGGTTCGTTACAACCCCAGATTGCACGCTAAGTGCGTACGACGCACATCGGACTCCGGACCAAAAACGCCTCCGACAACCTGCTCACTGCGGAGGAGTTAGGAGATAGAACTTTCACTGCTCTATCATCATATGCTGCAGTTGCTGGTGATCGACCGCTTGAACCCTCCTGTTGGGGAGAGTTCCCCCCCCCCCCAACGTCGGGAAGAAAAATCACAATTTGTCGGGTAGAAAAAAAAATTATATATATTTTATACATATTAGTAAACTCTAAAATCGAATAAATAGGGCTTTTAAACGTACCCCTAAATTGTTAAAATTCGCCCCAGGACCACTTTAAAAACATTTTAAGCGACATTCGACCACCCCCACTTTGCTCTAGTCGGGGCATCCCCCCCCCACCCCGCCCCGTCTGGGACCTTAGACCCCCCGTAAGGCAAATTCTGGCGCCACCCCCGAGAAAGAAGCGAAATTTTTTGTCAGTGTCATCGGTTTAAGGCCCTCCACATGTACGTGTGTGTCCTTCTTCAAAATATCCCAAAAACGGCTGCACAGATCTAAATGAAAATAAGGTAGGTAAGACCTAATGAAGAAATGATTAAATGTTGGTGTCGCGTCGGTCCAGAGTAGGGTGTGGATGTGAGGACCATTTAAAGGAAAACGTCTTAGACCAGATATTCAACTGATCTGAATAAAACTTTCTTGAAGGTATGTAAACCTGTCATGAAAAAGTTGGTTTAATTACTGAGGGCGCTACATAATATGTCTCTTATACACATCTAGATGTGTATAAGAGACAGCCCGAACCATTTTTTTTATATTGAAATTTACTTGCTCATGTTGCATGTAACACTCAATTAACAAATTAATAACGTAAGCAAAAAATTTATTAAATTTTAAAAATGTGTATCCTTGATTTTTATACTGGATGATGATAATAATTTAAAAAAATCCAGGGTCTGGAAGTGTTTCTATAATTTTTCGCTAAAAATTATGTGTAAACATTTTTGAAATACACTAATTTCTTTTTTTTTTTTTTATTAAACAAAATTTTATTTAAAAAATGAATTTTTGTTTATTTTTGTAATTCTCTATGGGATTATAGATTTTTTATATTTTGCCAATTGGTTAAATAATAATCTCTATCCAGGGCCGCTCTCTAATTTAGAGACGATTAGAGACAAACATGTCAATGTCGTATAAAAATTGTTTGTTCCTTAATACACGCTGTTATGACAAACTGTTACTGTTTCTTATCAGTGCAACGCCCTCATGTGTTCGTTCAGTCAACAACAATCTGACTGCACTGAACAACTGAGGACGAGCGAGTACTTGCTTAAAACCAAATGAAAAGTATTTTTGGAGCTATTTTTCGGTAAGTTATATTTGTGTATTAGACAATATTTTTTCCTGATAATTAGAGCTTTAATATGATTAATGCCTGTGCATTTATTTTAAAGTTTATACTCCAGATACTTGTATTTTAACGCTTTGTTTATTGTAATAAAATCAGGTCATCTTATTCTTATATATCTCCAATCCGTAACCTAGGCTAGTGTTGTTTATGTCAAGAATCGGTAAGAAATTAGCAAGGAAGAACGTCATGTCTAATGGCTACAAACATGATTCGCCTAGGATACGTATTATCAACATTTTCGTATGTAACTTTAGGCAGACAGGGACTTCAATTAGCAGATTTAATTATGAGTTGTCTTTTATAATTCATTCAAACACCTACGTTTTGTTGCAAACAATCCCTGAACCATACATTTGGTACTCTAGCGATAATAGTAGTATAATGTCAGTATTTTTCACGTATATTCAATGGCCAAGGCCTAGGCCCTAGAGATCACGACTCGGGGTCACAATTGCGAAACCTGAGACAAAAGTTTGGATAGGCCTAGAACGTACATTATCTCTTCTTTCCCTTATTCTGGCAACGTTCTCCAAACTGGGCTGTGACCCATTGTAGCTGGTCACAAAATATTTGGGTGGGTGAGGTCTGAACTTGAGAGAAATAAAAAAAAAAATCACCTCAGACTATTTATTTTATTTATTTAATCGACTTCACACAGGCAAATATACAATAAAATATCAATGACATAAAAGATTGCCGGTGACGGGAAAAGGCCAACAGTGCAGACCTTGTCATTTACAGGGCCGGTGGAACTTTTTTTAACTTGGGGGGGCCCACTTATAAGATAAATAGGAATATGAATCATGCAGATCTGGAATCAAACCTAGGGGGTGAGAGTCAACATTTTACCCAAAAACAAAAGGGGATCCGGGGGTCCTCCCCCTGGAAAATTTTGATTTCTAGATGGCGGGAAATGACCTTTCCCGACTTTTGAAGTAGGTGTTTAATGACTTTGTTCTTCAAAATTCAAGGTTTTCCTCCTCTTCAAAATGGTCACTTTCTCAAAAACAGCAATTATACCAACGCAAAAGATGCTAGGCCAAGGCTGAAAAACGTCTTTATACCGATATCGTGGGTCATTATACTTTTTTGTGTACAATGTACAAGCTTCTACAAACTGAACAAACAGTTAATAAACAACGATTTTCGGACGAAATAACGCAATAATTGCATTGCTGTCTAGGAATTAACAACTAGTGTACTGTATGCCCTAGCACAAAACCCTGTGAATGAACCGTTCGTACTGCTTTCTCAGTCCCAATAGCATACTGCTGTGCCAGAGATTATCTACGGTATTGATTTTAAAACGACACACCAGTAAACATAAACGTTAAAGTTACATGGTTAGATCAAGTGAAAATTACGCCTTCCATTGTTTAATAAAGTGCATTATCGCTCCTTAAAAATTGATTGGAATCAACCTGAATTGAAGGCGGAACTCAAAGCAAGTTTGTACGATGGCAGACTCTTTTTAGTAGACATTCATTCGGATTTGGGTATGGTTAGATTCATCAGTGTGAATAACAAATGCATAGCTTACTTATTCTTCAAACAAGACACTTTTGAGAAACATGTTGCTAATTTAAATATGTATAGGAAATTTTTAGGGAATTAAATTTAAAATTGATAGATTTATTTAGATTTAATTTATAATAAGCAAAATACACTGAGTTCGTTTTATCGACAAGCTGTTGCGCAATGAAACTTTGGGCGATCTGACATCATCACAGCCAAGCACATGTTTGCACCTGATCCTATGAAAAAAAATAAACCAATTAGGTGGCAGAGTTTAGGAGGCGCGACCTGATGTCTGATGTTTACAACAAACAACCGACACCAGCAAGTGGCATCGTGACTACGAAGAATGTGTTGGGTTTATGGGAAAAATAGCAGACCGAAAGTTCACGTAAAAACAATATGAAAGTATTCGTTTTATTGGTAATTAGATTTGCTGTACAGTACAGCACAGCAAAACAAGAGGTACTGTACACTGTATGTAGGCCTACAGTATGTTAACTTTTCGTAGGCTAGTCGTACCGAACCCTAGTCACTTTTGCTAGGCCGAGATAATCATCATAGGCGTATGCCTATTTCAGCGGCTAGGCTGTAGCCTAGCTGACCTACAACATGCTTGTTCGTAAAGGGTTCAATGCAGTAGATATGTAACACTAACCAAACTTTCTAGAAATCCGAACATCGTAACCGGTCACGAGGTGGGTGGGGGGGGTCGGTATTGGGAGAGTTCTCTACATGTAAATATTGGAAGTTAAATTTGATGTCTTGTTGACTCACTGTTGATTACGATTAAACGTTCATCTGCAGTATTTCTTTAATCTCCCCTCTCCCCTCCCCTCCCCCCGCACCATCCTGCAAAATAATGACTCACCTGAAAATTATGGTGAGTGTTTTATTGCTTGCCTGCCATTTTCAAATGACAAGGCCTGCAACAGATGAACAAATCGCACCTCTGATAGCGGCCGATCCCAAAATCCACAGACCAAGATATAAAATCAAGTAGGCCTATAATATAACATTTTAAAATGTAACACTAAAGTTAGAAAAAGGAACTCAAAGCATTTAAAACAAATAATAAAGCAATCTCAAAAGAGAAAGTTTAAATAATTACACATAGTGTGGTTAGAAATTTAAAATGGGCGACATCAATCATCATTAGCATTAATCATGAAAATGTGTTATTTTGTAATAACTTGTTAATTTATTATTAATTAATTTAAAAAAAACAAAAAACAAAAAAAAAAACAAACACCTACTGGTGTAGTAAAACCCAAGATGGGTAAAGTCCTGGGTAAAGTACACTGAAATAAATAACGTAGAGCATAGGCCTGCTGTAGCTGTGCAAAATAGGAGCAGTTGGCATATATCCAGAGGACACGGAACTAGGGGGTGCTGCGTTATGGAGAGTAATGTGTGACCGGAAATGGTCTGCCAGTTGGTTGTTACCATGTGCCAGTGATGTTGGAGTATGAAACTATTATGTAATGCATGAATAAAGTTCAGGCTTTGTCGGGTAGTGAAATGATTATGGTACATTTTAAGTGCTCCCTCCATGCTTAAGTGTAAGCTAAATTACGGTGATTAATTAGCAAAGATATGGAGACAATTATTTCGAAGTTCCCTCTTTCCAAGAGGGGATGCAAATGCTTTGTGAAAATGAGTACGCCACGGTACTCATTTTCACAAAGGAATACACTCAGCTGGTTAGCTAACAACATGCAAATTTACATAAACACCTGGGAAGAAATGTGCAATCATGTTCTGTTGCCTAGCAAACGTCTGTACTGTAGTAGCTTGGGGGGCGCTACTGATGTACTGTGTTAGCGGGGGACGATGAAGTATAATATGACTAGGCCTAGCTAGGCCTAAGTAGACAGTGCAATTATAATTGATATGTGATAGAAAGTATACTTTTGAAAGAAATAAATTAAAACAAGAAAAAAAAAAAAATTAACTAGGGCCTAAGAATAATTCAGTTGCAGACGTACCTTGTTTAAGTAATATGCTAACTATGCGGCAGTGGTGTTTGTTTATCCATGAAAAAAACACGCCGGGAAAGTTTGCCTATACCAGGAAAAGGTGACGTAATCTAGCTTATGATGTGTGCATGCTACTATAGCTGTCTCTTATACACATCTAGATGTGTATAAGAGACAGATTTCGTGTTGTTTTGTGTTCTGTTAGGACCTACGGACCACAACAGGGGTGGGGGGTGCACTCTATGATCAGGTGAGGGGTGCTACAGGGTAACTTGCAAAATTTCATAGTCAACTGGTAATGGTCAACAATCCCGGGTCAACAGAAGAAAATTAGACATAATTTAGAGTTCTGTTTGAAGTTGATATTTAAAGATTCACACTTTCCATTGCAAGGAATCAGACTTTAAAATTTATTAATAGATATCATGTCAGATTTCAATATTATTATTATTTCAGTATTATATTAGGTGTTGTTCACACAATAAAACACTGTCAAAATATCAAACCATTTTTATGGTCAGTGTCGCTGTGTCAATTTTGGCCCATAGTTTAGTACTGTACTCATTTTTACTAATTTTTAATTTTTTTTTCAATTTTTATTCACATTTGGTCTTTCAGAAAGCTCAATTGTAAATTGCTATAAAGAGAACCTTAAAATATGATGGACGGTTTATAAGGACCATTGCAAGCACCAGTCTGGACAAAAGCCTTGGGCAAGCTGACAACTGTTTCTAATCAGGAATCATCACCACTAAATACAGTTCCTCTTTGTTGTGGCAACACAAGTATTACATGAGGATGCCTACTATATCTCATCTTGTTTGTCTTTTATTCTTGCTATGTTTTTATGAATGTCATTGCATGGGGTATGGCGGCTCAAGAGAACAATCGTACGATGAAGACCCATTTTATCAGGACTTTCTAATGCCTGGTGTCCGTCCAACAAAGGTAACTCACAAATTGTTTTATTTTTTGTATAGAGTACCACATTCGTGTCGTTATGATGTCAGCTGGCGCTCTTTGTTGTCAACAGACGTTGGTTACCGTCCATTATGCCTGAATGACTTTATAGGCTTTCTGGAATAGGCATTTTAAAATCTAATATTTTACCATCAAAATGTACTAAAAACACAAAAGCTCGCATTATATTAGTTATGGAACAAACACTTAATCGTCAATTAAAATTTACAACGAAAAAGTAAGATACAACATCTTAATAATTACGTTACAAATTGGGATCAATGGTTTGTCAGTGGAGAAAATGGTATCCGGTTGAACGCATTTTGCAACGGAAGCAACAGAGTAGTGTCACATGGTATTGTGACGTAACACATAGTTAATCCCTTCTACATTAGTCTTCACCCCTAGCCTTTAACCTTTCATATCGCTTTTCATAGCTTTTTCTCTGAGTCTTAGGATCAAACACTGTATAGGACCTTGGATATCCCCTAATAAGTACTTTGCCTTTATCCCGGGTTTCATTTTTATACCCCACTGGGAGGCTACGCCTCGACCCCACCCGGAACTCTCCTGTAACTCTTACACATTCTTCTCCTACTCTAAACCTTAATGAAACCCCTGTTATCTGAGACAACTATATAATATGAGCTTTGCCATCCCAAAACCAGCATACTGTACTAAAATTTAAACTGAGGTGTTTGTATTGTATTGTATTGTACAGAAAAGCCACAATAATTTTACTCATGACTTTGGCAATTTTTAATTCGATGGCAGCAGGGATTTCAAAAGTTTTGAAAGTAGGAGGCTGAATCTGAAAAGTAGCAGGCGCACCATTTATCATCAAAGTTCAGAGTGGGGGGGGGGGTCGGGTCCGTGGTCGGGGAATTTTTTTTCTAGGTGCCAAGAAATGGCCTCTCCTGCATTCTTGGAGCTCAGTTTATGGATATATTTTATTAAACAAAATAATGTTGTTTTGTAAGATTTTTTGGTTTTATTCAGCTGGTCATAAAGTTGAGTTGTACCATACTGTACTAATATTAAACAGACATATACAAAAGTAATAATTTGTAATAAGTGAATTTATTATTACTGTTTCACATACTGTGGAAAATAATAAATAGAAGTACTGTATATAAAGCTACTTGTTTGCATATCATTTGTGTGGTTGCTCCTGGATATAATCAGCTACAACCTTATCATGATATGGAATCTGAAAAATAACAATATAAAACAAATAAATAAAAACATCACTAAATACATTTTTGGACAAATCTGGCTAGGTCTTTATTAATAATCCAGTGAAAAACTTATTATATAATGTATTTAATTACTATAATAATAATAATTATAATAATAATATAATATTTAATAATAATATATTATTATAATAATAATAATAATAGTAATAATAATAATTATTATTATTCTCCTGAAGACGGTTGAAGCAAGTCAACCGAAACGTCGAGATATTCTCAACCAACAACAACAGTTCTTTTCAGAACTATCTACGTGGTGTACCGCAAGCATTAATTATATAATAATAATAATTATTATTATAATTATGATTGTATATTATAATAATCAAATCATTGCAATATGTTTAATTTATAATAATTGAAAAGAACAATCCTACATAAGTATCAGTAATTAGCATTCTACATACTTAATACCTTTTTTGAAATTGCCCTCAGCCAATAGGTCTTCAACATGTGGCTGGACATCATATTCAGCTACATGATCATCATCATTGCTGAAATCATCATCTGGAAAAAATTTAATGATTTTTTTAAAGCTTTAAAAAATATCATATACCAGTAGGAATTACAGTACTACTACTCCTGGTACTGTAGACAAGCCTATAATAAGATAGGCTAGGAGTTAAATTACAATTAATTTGTTAGTCGGCCCCTGTCACGTGACATGTTGTTTGTTATTTTGTTTTGCTTAAATCTATCATAAGTTTTTATTACTGGTAAGTACAATTTAGCTGGAACCGGATGGATCGCGTATCCTAACTAGACTGTACTAGCCTATACTTTGTATTTTCACTCTATAGCTACTGTAGCTTCTTCTTCTAGGCGCTAGGCCTAGTGAAAATAGAGATAGTAGGTCTAATGAGTGAGCAAAACCTCGTGGGCCTTTCCAGAGGCCCATCAATCGTCATTCATGATCAGACTCATGAATCATTTTAGCTGTTTTGTTAATTTAATACCATCACATGGTCATTAAAATACTTACCCTTTTTGGCCTTTTTTGAGAAAAAAAACCATAAATTTTCTCTTGCTTTACAGTGTCATTTTCTGCGATCTCCGACTACAACTTTTCATAAAAAAAGATTTGATTGGACAGTGTAAAACGATCCAATTGGAAACCGTTTAACAGCTTGTGTTAGGCTCAGGGTTGCCATTTGGCCTTTTTGACGGCCAGATTCCTCAAATCTGGCCGTATAAAAATTTGCCTGGCCGTAGCATTTGAAAAGTCACGGCCAAACTATATTTGGCCGAATTTGGCCGAATTTTTGAAAAGTTTACTTTTTTTTTTTCAATATAGGCCTAATATAACGTAGACTTGTTTTGGATATTTTGTTTTTGTTAGCTTTAAGTTCTATATTTGATTCTAATCTTGTACCATTGATATTGCACTAAAACACTTAATCTATGTTCCCCGAAAACCGAAAGGTCCACTGATTAATCTCAGATAAGAAAGTATACATATTCCAAGTATTGAAAGACACGCCATCGTGTTGGGATTCAATATTTCGACATTAATTATGTCATCATCAGGAATGTTCCCCGATTCAGCCGATTTGACGTAAGAGAGTTTATTTAAAAGATAACAGTTAGGCCTACATTTAATATTAAATTGTTCGGATGAAATATATTATTTATGAAGTTTATCCTCGTTAAAGCTTATGAAGACAATTCATTGCAAGTTTGTACCATATATCGTGTCTTTGTATTTGTTACATCTTACTAGTGAAGGTTCTATCTCTTTTGAATTTCTTTTGAATATAAATTAAATACTGTACTTTAATAAATTTATTATTGCCCACATGAATTGTATAGCCCTAGGTGCCGCAGTGTTCTTTATGTTGAGCGCCATTATTATATAAATGCTCGATGTGATCATTGGGGTCCGATGGCACCTCCAATTTCAAGCAAGTTTTGAGAGACTTCTTTGAAGTTACTCTGGAGTTAGGTTGCATAGAATGAAGAAGATATTTCTGATAGCAACATTGATTTATTGCTTTAAGTACTGCAACCATAACATTCAGAGGTGAATCTAGAAATTTATAAAAAGTATTTATTAAAATTTTCATAGGTTTGTTTTAATGCCAGTTTGTGTACCTATGTAACTTAATTCATTCTAATTAAAGAGAGCCACGAATTTGCCAATAACAGGCCCTTTAAATTTTTGCTATAGATTCACTACAATGTACACTAATATTTAATACATTTAAATCAAATTTAGATCAACCTTATATTGTGATTTTAAATAGCAGAGGTGGTTAAAAAAAAAAAAAAAAAATTGATCGCCCAAAACGCATCAGGCTATTTTCGGGCGTCTAGAAAAGACAAATTTCCTCTAAGATTGTGTTATCTCATTATCATTTGAATTTCTTCAATTTTAAACGAATGATCGCTGATTTTCGTATAATTTTTGTAGTATTTCAAATGAATGTACCCACTGTTGTCTTCTAATCGATTAAAATCTAGCCGAATTTTGGCCGATATCGAAAAAAAGTTTGGCCGAATTTGGCTGTGAGATGGCGTGTGTTTGGCCTTGAAGCCTGTCAACTATCTGGCAACCCTGGTTAGGCTCAGTTTTATTATCATGAGGTCAGTTAAGTGTCAGAGGTGACGATGAGTGAGAGATCTGTCAACACAATATTGTTTTTCAACAAGTGGGCGAGATCGCCAATCAAACAGATAAATTATCATATCAGTGTCACATCGGATTTTAAAATAAACAAGCGTTAGACAATTGCTATGATTTGAGTAAATGTAAAATATATCTAGGCCTAGCTATGTATCGCTGTGTACCATGAGGACAACCACACAATCTCTGCATGGGTAGCCTATATTTTTTTTCACAGCCTAAAAAGTAGGCGACACACATGTGCGATGTACACGGCGGATTCCGTCGCGCACTGGCAGCTTTTGAAACCCCTGTTCCAGTAAAATAACCTATCATTTTAAACCTTATAATGTGGAGCATATTTATATTTAAAAAGTCAATTTTCTTGTTTTGGTAACTGATACTGGTTTTGTATACAGTAGGTATGAAATTAATTTTTAACTAATTTTATACCTCAGTGGGAATACTAAACACTTGCTCTTGATACAGGGCTCAGTAATTGTAGCCCCACAAAAATGCAGTATTGTACATTTACTATAAGGTTGTGCTTTTGTTATTACATTCCAAGTATAGTGTACTTTTTTTTTAATAATGTTGGTGTGTTGATAGTTATTGAATAGTTTATGGTGAGTAAATAATAATAGAGCCATGCTTTCTTATACTATAGAAAGAATTAAATATATAGCCATTTATAAAATAATCATTGCACAGTTTTCTCTCCTGATACTGAGTGTACTCAATCAATCAAAAATGTATTTAATTTCACAATTTCAATCACAATAATAGTTTATACATAATGATATTACCATTAAAATGAAAAGTACTGTAATGAATACACTGGATGAAAATTTACAATGTTTTGGAAAAAGACACTCTTTAGTGTTCAAACACCATAAAATATCAAATATCAAAAATATCAAATAAAATGATATAAAATAAAACAATAAAAATGAAAACAAGAAAATAACAATAAAAGAAGACATTATTTTACTGTACAAGATCACAAATGATGGTATTATTTTTATTTGCAGCTTTAAAAATGAAATATAATTCAGTTGATACTAAACTCTATTTATAAATATTTTTAATGTGATTTTTGTTTATTATAGCCGGATGAATACATATGTACTGCAATGTCAATCCCTGTTGATGAAATATATATAGGTAAGTGAATATTGTTAATTTGCGATTAAGCTAATTAATAAATTACTGTCTAGCAAATATTGTAGTATGGTAAATTATAAAAAAAATATAACCCTCTTTCAATTTAATTATTAAATTGTTTAATTCAAGGATCGATAAAATGCAAAAATGTTTGACATCAGTTACCACAAGTTTAGAGGCTAGATCATTCGAACGAAATAAAGAAAGATGATATTATCTTTCTATATTGAATTTGATTTTTCAAAATACAAAAAAAAAATCATTTCAGTAATTAAAATTATTGCCATTCACTCAGATCAAAAAAACATAATTATAATTTAAATCTGTAGTAATTGTTACTTTAAAAAACATCATAATTAATTTTCTGTAATGTTTATGGAAATTTGTTATGCTTGAATTACATATTACAATGCTATTTTTGTACCTCCAAAGTTATCATTGACGTAGTTATGCTCTTTAGTGTGACAAAAGGCTTTATTTAGTGAAGGAAGTTGCCTAGCTTGCACTGCATATTAAAACAACCTATGCATTCATGATCACAATTATTGATTGGTGTAAAAAAAAATGGTCAAATTGTTTGATTAGACATCTGATCTATTAAATAGATGATTCTCTGCATAGAATATGATCCAATACTGTAATTATCTTTGAAAAATTTCTTTTTGATTGAAATCTGGTAATGTATGCGTAGTATGTGATTTACACAATTTTTAGTAAATTCATTTTACATTGCAATTAAAGATTAGAATGGATAATGTCATCACAAATTATCTGGTTGACTCATACATTTAATAAATAAATAATTTAATACTATCCTTTGTTTTTGGTATAGTGGCACAAACAATCCATATAAAAAGATCTCATGACTGGATCTGTAGCTTGGTGGTTTAGATTTTGCTTGAAAGTCCCTGGTCTATGGTTTAATCCTGTGATACCAGGATATACATATTTCTACCCAAAGGCTCTATTCATACTATAAAATTATCTTTGACAAAAAATCCGTTGGATGTCCATATAGTAATAATCATGATGTGCCTATATACTGTGCATGGTCATTATGCGATAATAACCTTATTTATGCATATTACTGTACATGTTTTTGTCAAATCTGGACAGTTTTTTTTTTCATTTATTTATTTAGCATCCATTCAATTTTATAAAAATTCAACATCAAAAGTACAAGAAAAAACAGCATTATTGAAATTGAAATGTAAGATTAATTAATTGCCTAAAAAGATAACGAATGGATGCAAGGACGACCCATTAAATCAACACAAGTTAATTTATTTCCCATGGGGTCCTTGCAAGAAACTGAGGGTCAAAACGGTCAGTTAAAATATAGAAAGTTGGTGGTTAAAAAAAAAAAAAAAAAAAAAAGAAAACAAAAGAAGGAAATATCCAAATTCTTATTCATGTTGCACCTAAGACGATAATCTTTCATTCTTAAATAAGAAGTCAATTTATTATTCAAACTTTAATCAGCATGGTTAGCCTGTAGTACCGCTGTCTCTTATACACATCTAGAGGTGTATAAGGGACAGGGCTAGGTATTGTCTTTAGAAACAAAATAAGAAAACAAAGATATCTAAAATTGTAAACAACGATGCGACAATATATGAGTAGACAGTGGCCTACAGGGGGCCTAGCATATAGCGCGATACCTGACGGAAAGCATTTTGGTAGGCGACACTGCTTCACACCGCATTCGAGCTTCTTACCTCACGGTCGGTTCGGTTGTTGTTTGTTGGCCTTTCCCTACCATTGTTGAAAGACAAGTTCTGATTGGGTGATTGTGAGTCGATTACAGCTTTATTTTTTTTTCATCAAGTCAATCGCTGATTGGCCACAGAAGTTTTTCGGAGGATTTCGGAAACATCTTCGTCTGTGTGGTCTATGCACGCGTATGGTCAGAGCGGTAAAAATTTATCAACCCCCTGACCCCTTCTTTCCATCATCGTTCCGTTCGTTAACAAGAAGAATGTCTAATATTAATAAAGATAAAGATAAACTGAAGCGACCCACAGGCTTATTTGCCTTTGGCATCGTAAAAAAACCAAAGAATGGTAAGAACATTTGTAGAATTCGAATAATATAAATAAGAATTTTGGCAAGCGAAAAAAAAATACATGCAAATAAGAGACTAGGCCTAGGCCTAGGCCTAGAAGAGGTAGGGGAGGCTTAGCGTAGCCTAGTTAATCATGGCCTACCTATTATTAAACTAGGCCTAGTGCGGTGAAACGTAAGAGGTATAGGGCCTAGGGCTAGCCCTAGGCGATAGGCCTACGTCCAGTTTAATGAGCACGAACTTGGAGCTAATGCTGAAGAAGATATAACTATGCAAGCAGAGTCTATAGCAACTGCTTTAATGCCAACATTTGAAGACTATGATGATGAATCTGATTCAGATTCAGACATTGAATTATAATTCAATGTTTGAATAGAATCAGGTTCAACAACAGTCTTCAAATGTAGGCAATGAAGCAGTTGCTATAGACTCTGCAGAATCACAGAGTTGTAGTCCTGGTCCAATTGTTTGTAGTCCTGGTCCAAAAGTTTTGTTAATAAAAAGAATACAGACTATAATGCCATGGTAATTAATTATTTTTTAAATGTTTTAAGTTTCATTAAATTATTGAAACAGTGAAATTTTAGCCAAAATCTGTTGTATACTGCATATGTCATCCGGTTATTTGTGCTGAAATTCTTCTGCAAATCAAAAATGCCCTTAAAAATATGTCAAAAATATTAATTTTTTTAAGTAATTATTTAGTGCTCTAAAAGTGCTCTAATGGCATCAGAGAGCATCTAGACCCTAGAGCTTCCGGGGCCCCCGGCCGAAGTGGGTGTACAGTACTCGGTGTCCATTTGCAAGTTACCTGCTGTAAAATCTTTTTTACCTGCTGTAATTTTTACTAACAACAACCCTGTATTGGCAATTGAGCATATTCATACAAGAACCAATTTATAACCCTGATTGGAGAGAACAACATGGGTAAAGTACTGTACACTGACCAAGGACATATTAAACAAATAATTAGCATCAGACTGAAACTCTGGATCTTTTGACTGAAATCATAATAGCCTTGTTCCATTACACCGGTGATATCGTAGTTATCGAACAAGCGCTTGTTATGAGGCCGACACTGATCGTATGAACGGGATCACCTGATAGAAAACAAGCGCTTCAACCCGCAAGCTTACACCGACAAATGACTGGATTGGCAAGGCTCTCATCCGATAAAAAATGTTGTTAATTGACTTGCTACATGTTGATTGCAATATTCATCTGTAGCTTGATCATGGTCTCATTTTCGAGGCAATTCTAGGCCTAGTTAGTTCATAATATCAACCAAAGCATCTTTAAAATTAACATTTCGAGTTGTTTTCAACTTCATTTATTGTCAAAAGTAATCCAAATAAAACATTACAGGATAAATTTATATTATTACTGTTCGTTGTAAACTTCATATAAATTTTCATGTTTTATTTTGGGAAATCCGCAAAATACCGTGGTAGTTCGTTTGCTGTGACTAACGATACGGCCGAACGAGGTACTGTACGGTGAATACCGGTGAGATATTGTACGTAGATGATTCTGAAATTACATCTAATACAGTATATGGTCTCATTTTCGAGGCAATTCTAGGCCTAGTTGGTTCATAATATCAACCAAAGCATCTTTAAAATTCGTTGTCTTATAAACGCTGATACACTGATACACTGAGACGCTGATACACTGAGACGCTGATACACTGGGACGTTGATACGCTGAGACAAAGATGACGTCATTGAAATTCACCGCAAAGTCATATGCACTGAATCGAATCGAAAGTGCAGGGTTCTCAAGTACAATCACAAACAACGTTCGTACTCGCATACTACATTTGGCAGCTCGGTTTAAATGCTGCCGAAAATCTCCTAAATGTTCACACTGTAGGTACTGTAGGCTTAGGGTAGGTGAGAAAAAGAAAAACTTAGAGAGTGTTATTTCGCTTTTTCGGAATGCTCTACCAATTGAAGTTGAATAATTTGGATGAAACATGTTTTGCCTTTTATTTGTCGATAGTTAGGATGGCCTACTGCCTACCCAATTCAAGCAGGCCTAGCCCAGGCAGGCTCGCGCCATTGAGTTCAGCCTACACTAGCCTAATGTAATTTCTGTTTTGTCGTCTTCGTTTTATTTAAAGATCATCATGAGATCAATAGAAATAATTTTAATCTTCAACTTTTTTATATCAATGTATAAGGGCTATAACTATCCGCTATAACTCTCGTGTAGACGTACGATAAAATTTGATGCGACCTTGACTGTATTTCTTATTAACCTGCATTGGATAGTAGTGAACGTCGGGACATAATTATAGCATTAACCACTGTACCACATGCCTAGGCCTACAGTATGCTATTCAGTTCAACTTCAGTTCAATTGTACAAATTTAAAGCGAGTTATAATTTTAGTGCCCTTGATTTGCTTTTATTTGATTGATCTTTGGTCTGGTCTTTTGGTTTGACTAGGTTGTGACCTGAAGCCTATGCACGCAGTGACTAGTAACCAAATATGCTAACAAAGAATGGCTAATAATAATTAATAATAATAATTGTAATAATGATATTAGATATTGTAGTTTAATATTACCATACATATGGGTTTAAGGCTACGGTCACACTAGAGTTTCAAGCCTGGCTTGACTCACCACGGGTGAGATTTCTAGCGAGGCTCGAAATTCTGTGTCGGCCACACTACCTGAATTTAGTTGGATTGACCTCCAAATTAGGAAAGTCAAAACAGAAAGTTAGAGCGCCGCCACAATCAAAATACCGGCTTCGCGCGCAAATCTAGATGATCTAGGCCTTGTCTCGGATGTAATGGCAATGCTAGTTTTCGGATTGATTAAAGTGCATTTATAAATGACAACTGATGATTGCGTCTTATTACACACGTGAAGAACTCGCAGGTTTTTTATTAAAGAACTTCTAAATGCAATGGCGTCATCGACTGT